GCAGGGAAATATGGTAAAGCAAAGAGACCGGTCAAGGACAAACAAGGCAAGACAATCACTTAAATTCAAGGAGAGAGGAATAGATGAGTGGAACGATTCAAGGAACTCTTGGGTAAACCACCTTCCTTGAATCCACCGAACATTGAAGTAGCACCTACAGACCTTCCTATAGATGTCACTCTACCAACGATCAAAGAAATCAGGATGTCTATCAGACAAATGGATGATGGGAAAGCAGCAGGACCTGACAATATACCAGTTGAAGCTCTGAATTCAGACATTAAAGTAACTGCAAACATGTTTCACCTTCTATTCAGAAAGGTTTAGAAGGAAGAACAAGTGCTGATGGACTGAAAAAAAAGATAACCCTCTAAAATACTGAAGAAAGGAGATCTTAGCATATGTGAAGAATACAGAGGCATCACACTACTATCGGTACCAGGAAAATGTTTCAACAGAGTGTTGCTGAACCGGATGAAAGATTCAGTAGACATCTAACTTCGAGATCAACAGACCAGGTTTCATAAGGACCGTTCGTGCGCAGACCAAATCTCGACATTATGGATCATTTTTGAGTAATCAACTGAATTCAATTCGTCACCATACATAAACTTCCTTGAATATGAGAAAGCAATTAAGTGTGTATAGGAGAACCTTATGGAACCTTCTCCAACACTATAGTGTACCTGAGAAAATCGTCAACATCATTCGGAATTCATACGACGGACTACACTGCAAAGGGGTAAATGAATGACAATTGACAGACGCATTCCAAATGAGGACTGTAGTCAGACAAGGCTGCTTACTATTCCCCTTTCTCTTTCTTCTGATGATTGACTGGTTCATGAAGACATCCATATCTCAGGGGAAGCACGGAATACAATGGACAGCATGCGTGCAACTAGATGATATGGACTTCGTAGACGACCTATCTCTACTATTCCATATCTACCAAGAAATGCAATTGAATACAACCAGTGTAGCAGCAGCCTCTGTATCAGTAAACCTCAACATACACAAGGAGAAAACCAAGATCCCCAAACACAACACAGAGAACATCAACTCAGTCACACTTGAAGGAGAAACTCTGGACGAGGTGGATACTTTCATGTACCTGGGAAGCATCATTGATGAACAAAGAGGGACCGATGCAGATTTTATAGTAAGGATTGGCAAAACAAGGACAGCATTCATACACTTGAAGAACATATGGAAATCAAAACAACTGCCTGAAAGCCAACATCAAAGTCACAATCTTCAATACGAACGTCAAGACAGTCCTACTGTATGAAGCTAAAACTTGAGGAACCATCATAACCACTATCAAATATGTACAAGTATTTGTCTAAACAAGATACTCAGTATCCGTTGACCCGATGCCATCAGTAACAGTCTATTCTGGGAGAGAACTAACCAGCTTCCAGCGGTTGAGGAAATCGGGAAAAGACGTTGTAAGTTTATAGGACATACATTGGAGAAATCATCAAACTGCATCACAAAGCAAGCGCTTATTTTGCATAATGAAGGGAAACGGAAGGTCAAATAACTTACTGAGTCGAGGATTGGAAGCAGATATGAATAAGATGAATGACAACTGGAAAGAATTGCTCAGGATAGAATTGGTGGGCAGTCTACATACTCCACGAGGGCGTAAGTACGTAATAAACGTATGGTGAGACACTTAGATTGGTAGACACATTACTTATTCGATCGGGCTCAATCAGCAACGCTAACGACCAAACAACATTACATCGATTAACGTGAATAACACAGACACGTAGAAGGTTATTCTCAGACGAATAACTTATTGGTATTGAAGCCCACAGGCCCAATTCTCACTGTAAACACCAGTGATCCCTCAAAATTGATTAGATAAATCTACCTTGACAGTACATACTCAAAAGCCGACAAGCGATAGAACTGAAGACATTCAACTTTTGGAGCAATGTATATTTATGGCAAAAAACATTTGCAGCTTAGATTGAGACTTATGTTTTCGGAGATAGTTTCCTTACATCCGAACCTTTTACTCTCATCGTCCTTAACAGTATCATTAATAACCGGAAGATTATAGTCGAATGAGAAGAAACTTTAACTAACATTTAACAGTGAAACTAATTTACCGTCTCGTAAATCATTCTAAGCAGATATATTTGTGTATACACTTTATAATAAGACTAAATTTATACGACGATAGTCAGTCAGATAATCGATATCGCCCAAATCAAAGTAGCATATGTTGGTTAACGACTCTTGAGAATATATTTATACTAGTTAAACAACCATTAACATCAAGTTTCGCTCTTTGAAAATCTCATGTCATATGAAATCAAGTGGTGGATAAACGAACTTATCTGTAATCGTTCTTAATTTCAAAAAATATCTTAACATGGAATCCGATCCTTTATTTCACCGACGAAAGTTATACAACTTATATTTTAACATCACCAATTGAAGGTCTCCTGAACCGATGCATATATATGACAGGTCCTACCTTGTGAATGACTGATCGCCAATTATGTGACTTTTTATTTCATTAAAACTGAATTCAGTCAGTCAGCTACAACATAGGACCAGGTACACATATGCATCGGTCCAAAATGCCATATCTCGTTAGCACAACAAGATGAACACCAAATTTATAGTAGTTAATTTAGTGATGGTAATATATAAAAGAAACATTGTATATAACGAAGTAGTATAGGAAGGAAGAAAGTTGTGAATCAATTTTAACCTCAAGGTTTATGGGATGATAAAGAGTGTATACACCTACGCCATTGTGATCGATTCTGAGCCATGTCACACAAAGTCTCCAACTATTGATTACGATAGTCACGGGGACCTCAATCAAGTAGTCTACATCTGCCAACATGGCTCAGACTAGAAGTTATTAACTTCAAGCACTGATGCCATACTTTGGTTTGGCAGCTCCCAACTTTATTCCAACGATCACCAATACTATTCAGCATAGTGTGTTGTGGTAATCGGTGTTCAGGCACATGTAACACGTGGTTCAACCATTTCGGTCGATGAAGATTCATAACCTCATCAACTGATTTACCATCATCACTCCCTAATACCATGTGTTTAACCTCACTATTACTTAGCCGGTGATCCCAGCAGATGCAAGCAATATTTCTAAGGCATTTGTGGTCAAATACTAGTAACTTACGAGTATCTTCTACTCTTAATGGCCATGTTTCACAGCCGTAAAGTATAACAGAGCGAACTGCTGCGCAGTATACTCATCCCTTAATTGATAGACAAAACTTAAGTCACTTCAATGAGATAGTTTAATTCCTTTTATTTAATTTTGATGAACGCTTGAAGCAGATTACTACATAATTTATTAAATAAATACACGAAACTCAACTAGTGTCATTGCCAACGAATTACTTGTTTGAAGAATGGTGCACACCAAGATTTGAACGACCACTGCATCGAAATAATGCACCTACAAATTCTGTTATGATCATCTATTAGTTTCTGTTTCATAATCTGATTACCATTCTAGACAATCCTTTCTACTAGCAGAACTAAATATTTGGTGATTTCTGTTCGTTTCCAAAAAGCAAACTGGTCACACGAGGTTGTTACTGGAACGAATTGAATATGAAGAAGCATCTGAAAAGTCTGACTTCTAAGGATTTTTCGAGCAATGAAACTAAAGGTGGAGCATGAGTATCGTCACAAATTGGCAGTATTTTTGAAGAGAGCGATTAATGTACCATAAATTATGTAAAATAAATTTCTGTAACTTCTCATATTTATCGAACAAACTCCTCAGTAATACCCATCCATAACCCTAGGAACTTTATGTCTCGAGGCCCTCTTCAAATATACGATCGATTGATAAACAGTTAGGACAAAAAATACTCATCAAATTGATCTTTATTTATTCTCTTAGTATTCCAATCGGTTCGTCTCCTTTGCTACACTTACACAACTCAACGAAATACAGACTAACGGTATTACACCAAAACATTAACAACAACAACAACAAAGAAAAACAACAAGACAAATAATCAAGGTAGTCAAAAGATAAATTAATGGTGAATATAAATCAGAATCCATACCCACATACACACACACACACTTCACATATTCCATGCATGCATTCCCAATATTCAATAATGAAAAACTTCTATATATAGTTGCTGCATTAATCTAATGAAAAAATTTTTTTACATGCAAATGAGAGAGAGAAGAAAGAAAAAACAAAATTGATCTGTATGTGTGAAAGAGTAAAGTGAGAGTACATTCTGTTAGTGAAACTATCATTGAAATGAATAATATTCATTAAAATACCTAGAAATAGTTGTTATGTTTACAAATAATAAAGGTAATAATGATGATGAGTATGTGCCTTGGAAACTAAACATACAACATAACTCTAGAATATCTGAAATAAGTAAAATTTAAGAGAAGGCAATGATGATGATTATAAGGATTGAACCCCTTTCAAACTATATATATGTAAGATAGAAGAGAGGAAAGAGCTAAGGATGAGGTGAAAAAACAATTTGGATGGTCAACATTTTCAAGAAAATCCCCCTCAAATCTTCTGATGAATCCCTTTCAAACTATATATGTAATATCGAAGAAAGGAAATAGAGAGGGGGAGGGGAAAGACAATTTGGAAGGTCAACAATTTTAAGAAAGTCCCCCAAATTCTTCTGTTGAATCCCTTTCAAACTATATATATGTCATATAGAAGGGAGGAAATAGAGAAAAAAAAGACAATTTAGAAGCTTCAACATTCCATATATTTTCAAGAAAGCCCCCCACCCCAAATCTTCTAATCTATAACGGTAAGAATACACTACGAACAAATAAGTTCGGTGAATAATATAATGATAATTATGAAGCAGTATTGTAAAGAGAAAATCTAAACATTGTTGCCATGCATACAAATAAAAGAAAAGAAAAGCTACAGAATTGTAAATACTAATCATATGAAAGATAACACTGTACGCTAATAGTATATATATATATATATATATATATATATATATATATATGTTCATTCATTCATTTGAATGTCTATGAAAAAGGAAGACAGTTTTGGACATCATCATCATCATCAAAACAGACAATCGAAGAGACAGAGAAAAAAACAGTACAAAAAAACACACATATTAAATCAATATATTCGAAGGGTAAGAAGAAGAAGAAGAAGGACTAGAATAGAATTTTCATAGTGAATGAGCAACAATGAACATTTAAGGTCTGGCTTTTTGAAGTCATGGTTCAAAACTTTTTTGTTATTGTTGTTGGTCTATATAAATGCATTATGAATATTAGAATGAACATGGTTATAAGGAGATTTAACTAGTAACCAAACATAACAAATAAATGGATATCATAAAGCTGAATAAACAAAGAAAAAAAGAACGAATGAATGAACGAATCAATGAATGAACCACGCACTTTTGACTAGATATATCTGCTGCTTGTTTTTTTTTCTTATTCTTTTTTTTGTGTACTGATTGTGTTTGTCAAAGTTAACGACCACATTCAGAACACATAATCATATCATCACTGGTAAGAAAACCTCTACCAACCAGATTAGAATTACATTTTCCACATAGAAAACATTCTGAATGCCAATGACGATCTTCGAATGAAATGAATTTACAACCACCAAATCCTATTTTAAAAAAGATCGGTAAGAAAAATGTATACTTTGTATTACAATCGATACTATATCAAAACAAAGGCTGGTAAGTCGGCTTGATTGAAAATAAAACCTGGAAGCACTGAGAGGCTGTTTCGTCCTATTATGGGACTCCTCAGCAGTGCGAATCCACAATCCCTCACTTGCGAGGGCTCTGGCTCGAGACTGGTAGGTCCTGGATTCGAATCTTGCGAGTGCAGGATCGTGGATGTGCACTACAGAAGTTCGGTCGCGGCCGAAATAGCTTAGTAGTAACATATCAGACTGTGAAGCTGAGTAACACGGGATCGAATCCGTCAGGGAGCACCAGTTCCCTCAAGGTTACAGGTACACCTTGCCAAGCAGCATAAAAACCGGGTCCAGGGTTCCCTGTTGACCATCTCCAACCACCATCTTAAAGTCAACACTATTTAGAAAATTTTTATTTGTGCTCAAAATCATTTTAATAAATTTAAGAAACATAGATGGGCATAATCTATCATGTAACACAAACAAGACTGTCCGACTAATCTCATCTATCAGTATATGGCTGTGGAGATTGAAATCACAAGCCGATTTAAGTTAGACCATTGAAAATCCGAAAGCATCGGACAGACGTTTCATCATACTATAAGACTTCATAGCAGTGGATGTTTGCAATCTCGCAACCGGGAATCGGACGCAGGAACCTGTCTTGAGCGCGAACACTTAACCTCTTGATGTGAAATAAAGATAGACAGAAAGATAAAAGGTGAATACTTCTATCCTATTGTCAGTGATTCCAAATCATAACACCGAAAGATACTTTCTTTCTGGCTACTTGAAGACAGACACATCAAACAATCTAGACATAGAAATAGATAAATACCTAAAATCCAAATCCTCCTATTAAGTTTCAACAACCAGTCCTTCTATTCACCTACAAAAAAAATACCAGAGTCTATGTTTCCATACAACCGTTTTAAAGCACTAAATATCCAATTTAGTTCATCCATTTACCAGTGACCAATCAGGAAGTTGAAATAGTTGTCGATTATTTTAATTGTTACCATAATCAAGACAAAATTCAATGTCTCGTTAGATAATAATGATCAATTTTCAGAAGGGGTTTTGTGGAGATTTAGCATTTTCATAGTTCAAAGCGTGAGTCAATTGAAGCTAGACCACCATGGAAAACCTGGAAGCACTGGACGGCCGTTTCGTCCTATTATGGGACTTCTCAGTGGCAGTGCGTATCCACGACCTCGCCTCGCGAGTGACTGATTTCGAGAGGTAAATCCAGTTCTAGTGAGAATCAGTGACCAGTGGAGTTCAAACCAGGTCTGTTGTGAGATAGGAACTCACTGAAGACAATTGATGAATGGTTGCTCAACTTTGTGGAATTGGTTGGAGTGCTCTGGCGAGAGACCGGTAGGTCTTGGGTTCGAATCTCGCAACGCGTGATCATGGATGCGCATTGCTGAGGAGTCACACAATTGGACGAAACAGCCGTCCAGTGCTTCCAGGTTTTCAATGGTGGTCTAGCTTCAATTGACTCACGCTTTGAACTATGAAAATACTAAATATCCACAAAAACCCCTTCTGAAAATTGATGGCCAGCGAATATATAGCCTCTGCCAGGGAAGTCCTACTCACTGCCTTCTCGTGGCAGGGGTGTTTTTTACGAAACTGAGAGGACGACAAGCGAATGTCTGGCGCTTTAACCGGGTTGGTGGACACGGAGGGTTCACCTAGGGGAGTTGGAAAACCCTGATTCCAAACCAATGGTGCACATCGGCTCCAAAATCCTGATGGAACGAATGGCGGACGAACCTGTCATTGGTCAACGGTTACCATGGGACTGCATCTCCTCACGATGCTCCACTGCCTTGTGGATTAGACCTTTTGGTCAAAGGCTCGGGGTGTGGCCCCCTAAGAAAACCATCTGCTTCAGTCTGGGCACCTGGGCAGTATCACAGCCCTCACACAAATCGAATGAGATTTGTGAGGCGCATATTTATCTGGTTCTTCATTGTACCAATATTTATGTGTTTAAATAAATAAATAAACTAGCTTCAATTGACTAATGTTTTCAACTATTGTTTTATTTTTTATTTTATTTAAACACATAAATATTGGAACAAGGAAGCAACAGAAACATATGCGCCGAACAAATCTCATTTGATTTGTGTGAGTGCTAACATACTGCCCAAGTGCCCAAACTGAAGCAGGTGGTTTTTCTAGGGGGCCATACTCGGAGCCTTTGACCTAAAGGTCTGATCCACAAGGCAATGGAGCATCGTAAGGAGATGCATTCCCATGGTAGCCGGTGACCAATAATTGGTTCACATTCCATTTGTTCCCTCACGATACTAGTTACCATGTGCACCATTAGTTTGGAATCAAGGTTTTTTTAACTCCACTAAGTGAACTCTCCGTGTCCACCAACTGGGTTGAAGCGCCGGACATTCGCTTTTAGTCCTCTCAATTTCGTAAGCAAGACCCGTAGTGAGAGAAGGCAGTGAGTAAAACTTCCCTGGCATAGGCTATATTCGCGTGGCCATGTGAGATCATTTCGAGAGGGAGAGCTCACTCTCCCCACTCTCGGCCGTACCAGGGCACTTGGGGGCGTTTTCAACTGTGAAAATAATAAATTCTATATTTACAATAGTTTATTTTTTTAATAAAAAAGAATAGCAAACAAACAAACAGAAAATTACCCGTAATCGGTTTGGTACATTTTGTGCATTTCTTAGCAAATAATTCACCATAACAATCAGCACAATATGGTTGTTCATCTTTAGAAGTGAATTTTAAACCGGCTAATTGTTTAGAACAACTAGTACAAGTGAAACATTCTTTATGCCATGGATTTCCTTTGTATGTAACTCCACCACGACGTATAACCTAACAATAATAGATGTAGTAACATTTAATAAATGTCATTTTCTTTATTTTTCAAAGATAAAAAAGGGACTGGAATTTTCAAATCTAATGCCAATAAAGAATAAAGTGACAATATTTTTTTTCTCCAGAAAGATTGTTAGTTTTACATTAGAGGATAAATGGGTGAAAATTTTTATTTAGGGGGTTGAACGAACCTAGCTACTATAAATCAGTCGAAAGTCAGACATAGAAACCGAAATATTTGGCATTAAGAGACTGGAATATGTCATTGATCATTGAAAAACTAACATTCTTTTGATTCACTTAGTATTGTTTATTTGAATCTTCCCATGGGTGTTTAGGATGGTGTTTGACGCGAAAGGTAATGGGTTCGAATTCCTCCCAGAGTGAACATCAACTCTGAGATGTGTTAAGTACATCCAACTGACGAGTCCCAAATAGGACGAAACGTGCGTCAAACTGGATTCTACTGCTAGCCACTATCCATCTTTGCTTATAACATTATTTTGATTAACATAATCAGAGAAAATCAACAAAAGTAAACGTTTTTAGGCATAGCTAAATTGTAGAACCTGATAAAGGGCTAATATTTAGTCAATATATATTCACAGTGACGCCTGAAAACAGTTTGGTTCCCTTAGGATTGTTTTTCAAGAGCTCCAGTTAAACATTGGATGATTATTGAGGCTGATGTTGTAGATACTGTACTAGTCAAATTATTTACAGCTTTTGTCCCCTCTTCAAGCACTGATGCCATGTTTTGGTTTGGCCGCCCCTATCTCTCTTCCAACTATCCCCTACACTGATCTACATTGCGCGTTGTGGTAATCGATGTTCAGGCATACGTAACACATGGCTCAACCACCTCAGTCGATGAAAATTCATCACCTCATCAACTGATTTACCATCGTTCCCTAATACCCTGCGTCTAACCTCACTATTACTTTCCCGGTGATCCCAGCAGATGCGAGCAATATTTCTAAGGTATCTGTGGTCAAATATTAGTAACTTACGAGTATCTTCTACTCTTAATGGCCATGTTTCGCAGCCGTAAAGTAGAACAGAACGAACTGATGCGCAGTATACTCGTCCCTTAATTGATAGACGGATATCTCGTCTTCGCCATAGGTGACGTAAGTTGGCAAAAGCCAAACGAGCTTTTTGAATCGGTGGAGAGATTTCGTCAGTCACCAACCCATTAGGGCTGATCAGACTTCCAAGATAAGTGAAGTTGTCGACGCGTTCGACTACTTCACTCCCTATCCTTAGTTCAGGTGTTGACGCAGGCCAGTCCTGGAGCAATAATTTACATTTAGAGGGGGGGAAACGCATCCCAAACATCCTGGCATTATTACTCAGTTCTAACAGAAGACTCTGCATTTTGCCAGTGTCTTCACCAAACAGGATTATGTCATCTGCGTATTCTAAGTCGATAAGTGAACCTCCTGGTAGAAGATCAATTCCTGTAAATTCAGTCGATGAGAGTGTTATTTCCAGCAACAGGTTAAACAAAAATGGGGATAGTGGACAGCATTGACGGACACCACTTGAGGTTGTAAAATCAGATGACAGTTCACCATAAGCTCCCACTCGACTGGTAGTGTTCGAGTAAAGAACCTTCACAAGGTTTATGTACTTCTCAGGTACACCTTTCAATGACAGACACTGCCACAGAACCTCTCGGTCTACAGAGTCAAATGCTGCTTTCAAATAAAAAAAAACTATCATTGTCGGACGCCGATAAGCATGTCTGTGCTCTAAAACTTGACGAATGGTGAATATTTGGTCGATACAGCCACGACCAGGTCTGAAGCCAGCCTGATTTTCTCGTGTTTGCAGTTCACGAGTCTTAGTTAGGCGCCAGATAATTATTGAGGCTAGTATTTTAGATACAATGTTAGTCAGACTAATCCCTCTATGGTTATCACAGGATGATTTTGGCCCCTTCTTATATATTGGGACAATCAGAGATTGTGACCAGTCAGTTGGGATTACGTCCGTTTCCCAGATTTTAGCCAGAATATTAGTCAACCTAATTGCTAAAATTGGACCACCATATTTAAAGACCTCTGGAACCAATCCATCTGGACCAGCTGCTTTTCCTCGTTTCAGATTACTTATAGCCTTTTGAACTTCAAGTAGGATCGGGGGGCCTACTTCAATGTTCCATTCACGTTTTCTGGGAATAGTGGGTAGTTGTGCAGTAGCTGAAGGCCAGCTAAACTGCCCCTTAAAGTGTTCCGCCCATCGTTCTAAACGTTTGGGTTGAGAGCAGATAAGGGTTCCGTCTTTTTCGGAGATTGTCTCACTTACACTTAACTTCTTAATTCCGGTTTCTTTTATTAGTCTGAATAGTTGCCTGGTGTTGCCTACAGCCGCTGCCTTTTCCATCTCTTTTGCTTTCGTTGCCCACCACTGCTCACGATCGTTGTACTTTTAGTTAACCTCGATCTAATTTGTTTACGCTCTTCGTTGTGTTCAGAGCCTGATGGGATGAGTTTAAGCGAATCCATCAGTGAAATAGACTTAGAAGAAATCCATTGGTTTTTTGGAGCCCTATGATTTAAATGACTAATAGATGTTACTGCTGTTTCCACAGCTGTTCGTGTGTCTTTCCAAGCAGCATCTGGGTCAGTCTCGTTTACAGAACTGCCTAGATGTGAACTCAGTTGTTTCTGGAATTCGCATTTGGCTTTCTCGTCCTCCAGTTCAATCCTAATGGGTCTTCTTAGTGTACTTTTCCTGCGTCCATTGAGGCGCAGACAAATGCGCGCTCGTATTAAAGCGTGATCAGAGTCTAAACAAGTATTCCAATAAGAGCGACAATCTTCTATTGAGCCTCTCCGACGATGACTGATGACAATATGGTCTATTTGAGTTCATCGTTGGTTTGGTGAAGGTGGTCGCCATGTTAGACGATGTCTCTCCTTATGCTTAAAATTAGTGCTTGCTAAAAATAAACGATTGTCTGAGCATAGTTGCAACAGACGATCACCATTATCGGTTCGTTGAGCCGGAATACTAAAACACCCACCTAAATGTCTTCCTGTTTGATTTAAGCTGCCTACCTGGGCATTAAAGTCACCCACTACGACTACTATGTCTGAGCGCTTAGCTTTCTGAAGAAGCTCAGAGAGTTTTCTGTAAAAGTCATCTTTTACTTTATCATGGCTGCAGTCAGTGGGAGCGTAGGCAGAAACGACGAAAAGGCAACGACGTGTGTCCCTATCCTTCCGATTTCTTACGGAGCCATTTAGCCGGACAGCACATAGGCGACTGTCAACGGGGATCCATTCTAGTAGTGACTGTTCTGCCTTTGTACTTAGTGCTATACCTACACCTGCAAGTCCACGAGAACTAGCCAACGGGTCGCCAGATACACGGAGGGTGTATTTCGTTGGCTGTCCATTTTGGCGAGGTCAGGTCAAGTGAATGACCACACTAGGATCCTGTATGCGTGTTTCGGAGACACAGCATACATCAATGGTACGAGATTCTAGGGTTTTAGCTAAGGAGGCCTGTTGACCGATTTGACTTAAAGTACGTACGTTGAAGGCTCCAATGTGTAGTTTGGAGCAAGGTTTTAGCAGACCTGCGACAGCGTTTCGCGCACTAGAATCGTTGGCCATGGTGACACTTGAGGAGGAAACTGAGAGAGGAAGTTTAGTGTTGAAAGTCAAGGTAGAAGGAATAGTAGGAATTGAAGAAGGAGATTGATTATGAATACAGTGGTCTTGAGTGCTGTTAGAGGTATGCGGGCAGTTATCACTTCCTGGTTGCCCACACCGTGGAAGGGTTCTTCTAGGGGTATTTGAAAAGGAAATTGGGTTAGAAGTGGTCTTAATGACCTGAGTGTGACCGCAGTGCCCAAGGGACAACTGCTTGAAGTTGGTCACACACGACCTTTTTGTGTTAGCTCCGTTCTTCAAATAAGCTTACCGCCGGAGACCGATATCCGTGGGATAAGGCGAGGTGTGCATTTTTAGGGTCGACCTTTTCTAACCCCACCCCTCCTTGTGGGAAGGTAGCATCGCTGTCATGCTGGTTGTCTGAAGGAAACACCTTACTGCTGTCACACCTCCGTACAGTCAGCAGTACGACTTTGCCTTCGGACCTTGGGTTTGCTGCTTTTAGTCTCACCGCTCTTCAACCGACCTGGCTGGCAAGGTAAGACCTTGAGGAACGATTGTTCCAGTTACTATAGCTCGATTGTTTCATCACGATAGGCAAGCCCGACCACCACGTCAAGGTAGCAGCGACGGTCTACTGATATTCAATAAATCTTCAGCTGGGAAACTACACAATTTTATCACGTGTATTCTATTTTCCATGTAGCCCCCAAATGACCTGGTACGGCCGAGAATAAGGAGAGTCTGCCCTCCCTCTCGAAATGCTCTCACATGGCCATGTGCATACAACCAATACCAGGGAAGTCCCACTCACTACCTTCTCTCACCACGGGTGTTGCTTACGAAATTGAGAGGACGAAAAGCGGATGTCCGGCGATTCAACCGGGTTGGTGAAAACGGAAAGTTCACCTAGGGGAGTTGGAAAACCTTCATTCCAAACCAATGGTGTACATGAGCTCCAGTATCCTGAGGCAACAAATGGCGTATGAATCAATTGTTGGTCACCGGCTACCATGAGAATGAATCTCCTCACGATGCTCCACTGCCTTGCGGATCAAACCTTTAGGTGAAAGGCTCCGAGTGTGGCCCTCTAAGAAAACCAACTGCTTCAGTCTGAGCACCTGGGCAGTAACACAGCCCTGACACAAATCAAATTTGTGCGGAATATATATATCTGGTGCCCCTTTGTACCAATATTTATGCGTTTAAATAGAATAAAATAAATTTTCCATGTAGTTTTTAATCATATTTAGCTAGTAACAAATTCTGGGATTTTCTAAAATAGCAGAAGATTAAGCATAAAACCACTAGTTGTTTCCAAACGATTACTCATTACAATATACAGTAGAGCACTAAAAGTAACGAATGTAAACTTACTTCTGAACATTTAGTACAACGTTGAGCATATTTCGCTTCATAACATGGTACACATACAACTTGATTTTCACGTGGAATAAAACTTTTTGCACCAATTGGTTGTTTACATTCAACACATAAAAAACATTCTTCATGCCATTGTTGTCCACGATATTCATATTTACGCATTCCAGCTTTGAATACACCTTGACAACCATCACATCTTGCAGCAAAACGTTCATCATAACAATCAGAACAATATAATTGTTCTTCTTTTGTAGCAAATGGTCGATCAGCTAATGAAGTAGTACAAGCAGAACATTTAAAACATTTCTCATGCCAATGTCTTTCTTTAAATGAAAGATCCTGGGAGGAAATATAAACAAAATAATAATAATAATGTTATTGTTTATGAAATAGATATATTGTCAATTCTATTGAAGATGGACAACACAATTTGAACAAATACACTAATTGAAGAGATTGAATTCAATCTCTTGAATGCAAAAATACAACACGTCTAATGGAAATTACGGATGGTGGTGAAAGCTGAATATTGAACTGTTTTTAATTTAGCATGCATTCAATTGAACACATAAATTTGGAAAAGACAAAGGAATGATCAAAAGTATAAGTATGTAAGTAGTAGTAGTAGTAGTAGTATGTGTAGTGTAAGGAAAAAAACGAATTAACATTATGTTTATACATAGAAAACTATTGCTCCACTCAAATGGTTAGTGACAAAAACAAAAAAACTAAATGATCACTATAAATGTGATTTATCAGATGATAAGGAGAAAAGAGGAAATCAATGAGTGCATGGAAGGAATATAGTCTTTAAAGGAAAACGATAATAAAATGATATCTATTAAAATGAACACATGAAATCACAGGGAGCACGATTACGATGATACAAAGCGATACCATGTAAAGATTGGCATCATAGGGCGTTAGGTGAAGATGAATAGATCTTTATTTTTTGATGATTTTTCACCTGCCTTGATTGTATCACATTGCCATGCTTGTCCGACGCTATAACCAGGACCAAGTATATATGGCATTGGACAACTTGGATGAAATCTAACATTGGATTGTTGAGATGATGTATAAACTGCGTTCCGTATAGGCTCTGATGCATCTCGAATAAGTGATGTAATGCCAACTTCCGGTTTTAGCATACCCTAATAGTTATGCATAAGTAGCATATAAGAATGTAAAAAAAGTTTTTAACAGATTGTAATTGTACAGAATGTACTGTACTAAATGATGTTATAACTAGAGTAAAATATCAGAAATTCACAATGCATTTTCGATATCTAAGATGGAAACTTGGAAGAGCATATTGATTAGTGAATAGTATCATTCGAGTAACCGATAAGGATAGCAATTCTACGCTGGATTAAATAGAGACACAATTTATGGACTAAACCACACACAATCAAAACTCTTGATGCAAAATAACTTAAGTTTATTAAACTTGATATATCGTATAGAAAATCAATTAAGTGGATACAGTATCATCTACAAAATAAAGAATTCAAAAGCCGTTTATAATGTCCATCATGATAAAGGTATTAAACCTTATTTACAGAGAATTATTCACTGTTAAATAACAAAAATTACCGGAAATATAGCTAAGTAATGTTTTGATAAACCAATTGTTCACACTACTCAAATAACATATAATTATATAAGTAATAGAACAATTGTAAGCAAAAATGGATAGTGGCTAGCAATGGAATCCACTTTGAAGCGCGTTTCGTCCTATTTGAGACTCGTTAGCTGAATGTACCCACCACATCTCAGAGTTCATGTTCACTCTGCAAGGGACTCGAACCCATTACCTTTCGCTTCAAACGCCATCGCGTTATCCACTCGGCCACTGAGTCCTGATAGACACTTGCTTGTGCGATGGGGTGAAGTTGAAATTCACTTAGTATTGTTTGTTTGAATCTTCCCTACAATTATTAGTAAAAGCACAGTATAGCGACGAGTCAGTTGGAATTAAAACACAACCTATAGATTTTTGCATGAAATTCGAATATCATCTATAACGAGTAGAATAAATACCACTTTACACTGCTCGAAGCACGTAAAGTGATAGTGTGAAATTACCATAGAAATCACTGCACGAATAATGGGCTTTTACATACATCCTAAAACAATAACAAACGACTACATTTTTGCATCCGTTGTTTGAATCTTCCCATTAACACTTAGGATTGCAATCGATCAGTTTCTTATTGGTATATGTACATCATGTGCAGATTGCCTCGATATTACCTTGAGTCACAAGCGTTATGTTCACTTTGAGAGTAAACATCAACTCTGGGGTGCAGGTACACCCAGCTGATCAGTCCCGAATACGACGGCACGCGCGTCCTGGATCCCACTGCTAGCCACCACCCATCTCAGCTAGTAACCGATTATATCTTAAAATGATTAATATTATTGGGTGATAGGTTTGGCGATTTCAAGGGAAGTGTCAAAAACTGTCTGTTAATGCGGGGGTGGGGGAGTGTGAACAATAAATTCGACCTAAAGTTGTGTTAGTGCTATTCCTTGAATGCACTACATTTTATAGACTAACTGAGATAGTACCTCCTATATTTCCCAGCGAGATTCACTCATCCATACGGCTACAGACCACTTTAACTTTATAGTTGGTGTTAGTTCGTGATGAAAACCATAACTCTAACTAGGGACGATGTGGAGGCTCTTTAAAAACCTATTTAGATCCTTTTAAGGGTTCGAAAACAATCTATATCCATTTGGATGAACCCGTTTTTTCTTTATAAATAGAGTATCCTGTAGAAGACGTTAATGTTTCCAGTAATTATGTAGAATAATTTTACATAGTATGATATCATCGTTTTCTTTTCAATAAACAGCTGCCTTCTGACAGGTCAGAAACTAACTGGAAATTCGTCACGGTTGTTTCATGATCGTCACTATACTATTCTTTTACCGGATTATTAACCTGAAGCAAATCTCTGTATGTTTATTCTTTTCTATTAGTCACTTCGAATAAGCGATTTCACTTAATGAGCAGTCTTATCATCCATATTTTATGATCATTTATAAACAGCATACAACTAGTAGCTGTTAGTACGGTCACTTTTTTATATGCTAACACTATTCTTCGCATTCTGCATCCCCAGTTAAGCCTTGTTGAATTACCTCCGTCAATTTGTTTGTACAGTGCACAATAACATACTGGCTCTTGGACTGTATAATTATCTAATACACCATACTGATTTAAACATGTATTAAACTCAATACAAATATTTTAACGTCCTGAGTCTTCATCTTTGATCATTCTAACTAGTAAACAATCAGCTGATCGTAGTATTGTTTACATAATGAACATTTTTAGTTTAAAAATTAAACTAATCTAATACTTTTACATCACGGGTTATGTAGCTTGTTTGGTAAGACTGAACAATTCTTCCACCTGTAAATTTGAGCCCAACTATAAGATGATTTTACTATGATAAAAACCACAACCCCAAACTGAAAGCCATTGCTACCAGGAACTTCTAAACAGACAAACATTGCTAGCCTTACTTCAGTGAATGGAGTTCAAAAACCACACAGTGTAGCAAAGTGAAATTTATGAAGAAACTAGGGAAAATTTAATTACAACAAATAAACGGCAGATTAATTCTAGGAAGAAAAACATCCTGAAGACTAGCAAATTGCATGATACATTAGCTCAGTTGCCAGGCATAAGTTCATGTATCTGGAGTCGAGCAACATACTGAGTGTGAAAGCTAGTGAAACTATGTTGTACAAACGGAAGCAGGTGGGGCGGGATACAAACTTGCAACTTGTGGATGAAAGCTTAACCACTTAGCTATTGATCCAGCACCCCACACCAGGGTTCTATTTTATTACAGTCTTTAAATAAACACTTGGATTCTCCGATGATCTGATTAACTGTAGTTAAAACAAAGCTTCCTAATGTTATATTTTCCTCTTAATAGAAAAAACGAGAAATGTAATTCCGTACACCAAGAGATATGATGAAACCACTAAAGCTACAAAAATGAAATAATTTAATTTGTATAAGAGCTAGGAAAACCCCTAAGTAATTAGAATAAAAGCCGATCGAGTTAAAGAAAGATTACGAGTTCTAATCTAGCTTTTCGGATAAGCTATCAAAGATAAAGTAACTTTACTTACAGTAAAATACGTATAGTTTATATTCCTCTGACAACAAGCGAGTAGTAGAGTGTTTAACTATTGTTTCATCAATGTATAGACTCATGATCAACAATAAGTATAACCTTTAAAGTAAACATCCATTTCAACAGATTTGGAAGTCTTACTCACTGCCTTCTCGAGGAAGGGGTGTTGTTTACGAAATTGAGAGAACATAAAGCGAAGGTTATGCGCTTTAACCGGGTTGATGAAAATGGAAAGTTCAAATAGGAGAGAAGGAAAACCCTCATTCCAAACCAATGGTGCACATGGGCTCCAGTATCCTGAGGGAACAAATGGCGTATGAATCAATCGTTGGTCACTGGCTACAATAAGACTGCATTTCGTCACGATGCTCCACTGCCTTGTGGAGACCTTTAGGTCAAAGGATCCGAGTGTGGCCCTCTTAGAAAACCACCTGCTTCAGCTTGGGCACCCGGGCGGTATCATAGCCCTCACAACTAAATGAAATGACACTTTTTTGTGTGGTGCATATATATCTGCTGCCCCCTCGAACCAATATTTGTGTTTAAATAAATAAATAAAGATTTATTGTGTCGACACAATGATGCTAAACCATTTTGACAACGCATTAAGAAAATAGCACACTAGATGGACTGTTTCCAATTAAAGTAATTTATTCCATTAAAACTACATATTAAAACGTGATATTAGCAAAGTGAAGCGAAATTCCACCCTATAATCAAACATATATATTCCCGACAGAGAATACAAAGTAGTTACGACTATATTCAGTCCTATGTCAACATATAAAACCCTCACTTTGTGTCCTTATATTGTTATGATCAAATCAACCAACTCATACGTTTATTGTCTTGGTTACAAGCTATACAAGTTGCTGAGCTTAATTAATGATATTGGAAAAAAATGAATAAAACAATTCAATAGAGTATGAATGAGATTCCAAAATTAAATTGTAACTTATAATACCAAAGAAGTTTTCTACACAACTAACAAAAAATCACTAACTCCATGAGATATTTCCTGGAGTTCTAATGATAAGTAGTAACCAGTGGAGTTCAACCAAGTCTATTGAGAGAGATCAACTCACTGAAGATAGTGAAATGGTTGTTCAACTTCGTGGATTCGTTGAAGTTAGACATTAACACCATTAGATGCCAGCTCAGTGGTCTATCGGTTAACTACTCACGCACGAGACTGGTAGATCCTGGGTTCAAACCTCACGAGGCAGGATCATGGATGTGCACTGCGACTAATGAGTCCCACAATAGGACGAAACGGTCGTCCAGTCCTTCCAGGTTTTCCATGGTGGTCTAACTTCAATTAACTCATAATTTCAACTATATATAAGAATTACTATATGGCTTTAAAAAAAAACTAAATTCTACTATACATTGAAAATAATTTTTTTTTTTAAAAAAAAAAAGGTAAACTAACTTTTGAATCACAACCAATTTTTTCTTTACATTGTTCACATGTATTAGCAAATTTTGCTTCATAACAAGCTAAACAATGTGGTTCATCATCACGTAATATATAACGTTGTCCTGTTAATGATACATCACAACTATGACAAGCAAAATGACCAGTATGATGTTCTTGTTCCATAGCTCTTGTATATTCTTCTGAGAAAATAAGCTAATAATAATAATAATAATGAGGAAAAATGTTTACACTTATTTCAATTGTTAGATGAAACAAAAAATTAGTGATACACACACATACAAGCATAGACCCACTTATACACGTAAAGAGTAGAAGTCATTTTGTTATTGGATAATATGAACCAATCAGAGATGTAGCTTATAACTATGTCTAACATAAATTGACCTATAGACAAGATTCCTGTTGTTTATTTATATATATATATATATATATATATATATGACTAGGCACACATTGAAAGATGTGCAATAAAGTTGGTCAATATAATGATCGAACAATAGAATAACCAATCAGATTTCAGTACTTGTGATCCGGTCAGATAATTTTTATTTTTTGGTGGTCCATCTCTCTCTCTCTCTCTCTCGCTTGTAGACTATATGAAGTCGTTAAATTAACCAATTAAAAAATTGGATTAGTCATAATAGTCAAATTTGATTGGTTAAAAGTTTTTAATGAAAAGTAGCTGATTATTAGCTGATTGGTTGATTTAGTTTTAGATAAAATTGTTGACCAAAAATATAAATCGGTATATGATTGGTAGATATTATCACTATATATTTATATATAACAAAGCTTGTAAGCAGAGATGAGTGATTGGGGTGTTCTCTGTTGGGTGTTTTGTCACGCTAAAGACTCGCCAGTTTTGTATGTGCCTACATCACAGAGTTGATGTTCACTTCACTACTAACCACTAACCATCTTTGATTATAATAAAGAAGGAACGAATGTTTGTGACTTAAAGCAATATCGAGACAATCCACACATATGCCAATAAGAGATTGATCAATTACTGTCCTAAACGTCAATGGGAAAATTCAAGTAAACAATACCAAGTGGATATAACAAAGCTTGGTTTCACCTATTAGGGTTGGTAGAGTTGGATGTGCCGTAGTCTTCCCAAGACCTTTTTAATTGTGTTTTAGTATCAATCAGAATACGATCGCACCCCTGGTCGCGTGGTTTCTAATATGAAGGCATGTTTATCTGATCTTCCTACGATTGGATGCTAGAACAATTATGTTTTAAAACAATTAGTCCCTTTGATAAATTTCGATAGTTTAATAAGAAGACGAAGATCATCAAAATCCTGTGATATATTAACGCAATACATTTCGAACAATCTGATCACGCATATAACCGGTTAAGAACATTTATATATAATAATAAAAGGTCAACTAGACTGGAAATGGGGGCTAAGAGTAGGCAAGGGTAATAGTATAAGTAGTGAGAAAAATAATATGAAAACAATTTGAAACCTAAAAACTCTGGATAATAAACACATATTATCAGGGTAAGTTTAAAGTGAGAACAAACTATTTTTGAATATCCAAAAGGGTGTTGAATTTTCATATGTCTAAGGCTTCAATAAACCTTAATATACACCCTTTTAAACTTTTATACAACACCACAAAAGCCGAGTTAAAATCAATCTTATATGCCTGTTTCGATGATGTGTTTGGCAAAAGAGGATTATGTATGTTTATCCTCTATTCTTATTGGGGTCATTTGATATGTTTTACCTATCTATTAAGTTGTAATATCCCAGGCCTTAATCCATGTACTAACTAGTTTCGTAATTTACATATGTCACTACGACATCCAAAAAGTCATGTCATTGGAAGTCTTCAGCCGAGCAATAAACCTGTCAGTTTGATTTAAGATAATAACACCGGATTGACAATTATTATTTCTGGAATATCAAATAGCACATTTCATATACTACACATAAAAGAAAGACAAGTATCCAACCAGTTGGTCTTGCCCTATGACCTGTTTGATTGAGATTTGACAACTCCAGTAAGTATATATATTATCTATTCGATTATCTCAGTTATTCCACAATTAATTTCTTGCAAAATATTTTACCAGAACACCTTTAAATTATTACAATATTTAAAAATTCGCCCCCAAATGACTTGGTTCGGCCAAGAGTGGGGAAACTCAGATACCCCTCTACAAATGCTCTAACGCGGCCAAGCGTATATATCGTCTACAAGGGAAGTCCTACTCACTGCCTTCTCACGGAATTACTGTTGCTTACAAAATTGAGAGGACGAAAAGCGAATGTCAGGCGCTTTAACCGAGTTGGACACGGTGCGTCCACCTAGGGGAGTTTGAAAACCTAATTCCAAACCAGTATCCTGAGGGAATAAATGGCGTATGAACCAAAGTCGCTTGTGGCTTGCGAAATGTTCCGCTTACAAGCACTAGGTTTCTTCTGGCTCCTTACAACTGATCGAAGCCCGTCGGTCTATTCCGGGCGACCGTGAGTTTGACCACAAACGAAGGCTGTTACGTAATGAAATCGGGCAAAGCTTGTGTAAGGACCGGGAAGCCTGGTGGTCGGAGCGTGCTAATGGGATGGAAGCAGCAGCTGCCTCTGGTAACTGCCGGAAGCTCTTCCAACTCATCCGAGCCACTGGCAGCAAGAAGTCTGGTGTGAGTGAAACAATCTACGATGATGATGGGATGCCAATCACTAACATCTCCCGACGTCTTGGACGATGGGCGGAATTCTTCGAAGGGCAGTTCAACTTGCCTGCTGCTCCGGCAACATCGACCAGTTTGTCCTGCCCCCCATGGCCGGTGACGACTAATCCACCAGACAAGGCGAAAGTCCGTAAGGAACTCCAACTCCTGAAACGCTACAAATCACCTGGCCCAAATGACTTACCTCCGGCTCTTTTTAAAGATGGTGGTGACTTTCTGGCTAAGGAATCGATTGCGTTATTTAAATAGTTTTGGCAGCTAGAGAGCGTTCCAACATCATGGAATGATTCGATAGTTGTCCCTATCTTTAAAAAGGGTTCACGTTGTTCCTGTAACAACTATCGGGGAATAAGTCTTCTTCCGATTGGCTTCTGTCATCCTTAGTAAGCTGTTTAAAACCCGAGAACGATTGACTCGCGAGGAGCAGGCTGGTTTTCGTTCTGGTCGAGGATGCATTGATCATATCTTCACCCTCCGCCAAATGTTAGAACACCGTCATACTTATCGCAGGCCAACAATCGTAGTGTTTCTAGATATCAGGACTGCCTTCGATTCGTTGGACAGGACTGTACTCTAGGATTGTCTATTGAAGACGGGTGTGTCTGAGAAGTTTATTAACATGATAAAGGTCCTGTATACAAACATCTCAGGCAGAGTGAGGGCATACAACCACCTTTCTCCCTTGTTCCATTCAAGCAGTGGGGTTAGGTAGAGTTGCCCGATCTCACCATTCCTCTTCAACTTTGCCATCGATGACATTCTGGAAACAGCTCTGATGGATGTAAGTAATGGCGGTGTGGATCTGTTGCCTGGAGAAAGACTTCTTGACCTTGAGTATGTGGATGATATAATCTTAATGTGCAGTAATGCCCAAGGCATGCAATCCGCACTTAATCAGTTGGCAATCAGTGTCCGCAGGTACGGCATGTGCTTTGCACCCTCCAAGTGCAAAGTACTCCTACAAGACTGGCAGGATTCTCATCCTGTACTCACCCTGGATGGTGAGCAGATCGAAGTAGTTGAGAAGTTCGTGTATCTAGGTAGCTACATAAGTGCTGGTGGGGGCGTGAGTGATGAGATTGATGCACGTATAATGAAAGCCAGAGCGTCTCATGCCAATCTCGGCCATCTTTGGCGCTTTCGTGATGTTAGTCTGACTGTAAAAGGTCGGATCTACAACGCGTCGGTGAGAGAATGTTTGCTCTATGCTTGTAAAACTTGGCCTCTCCGAGTTGAAGATGTTAGACGTCTCTCTGTGTTCGATCATCGTTGTCTCCGAAGGATTGCTGACATCCAGTGGCAACACCATGTTAGTAATGCAGAGGTTCGGCATCGTGTGTTTGGGTGCAGAGACGATAATTGAATTAGTGTCACAATCTTGAAATACCGACTTCGGTGGCTTGGACATGTTTTACGAATGTCGTCCGAGAGAATTCCATGTCGTGCATTATTTGCCGACTCTGAGACTGGTTGGAAAAAGCGGAGAGGTGGTGTCGTGGTGTGAAGGAAGGCAGCAAATGACTGGCTTCTGTTGGTCCTTCACGACTCCCTGGTTGGAGTCTTAGAGATGGTGCAACACAATGTCCATAGACGTTATAAGATATAGCTCAGAATAGAAGCCAGTGGCGAGCCTGCTGTAACCTTCTTTTGCTTTCTGCACAAAGAGTGGTCATAACCTCCTTAACTGAAAGAGTTCTTCTGGTTGTACATTTCAGTTTCCCCCACCATTACTCTTATATATATATATATATATATATATATATATATATATATATATATATATATATGCATCTTACCTCTTTTCTCTTCCCATCTTCATTGTTTTGTGTGGCGCATATATATCTGTTGCCCACTTGTACCAATTCATAGAATTCATAGAATACATTATTTCTGCAAATATACATTAGTTAATTTTAATTTTATAAATGTAAACAATTTTACTTCATGAAGTACTTACATGATCACAGGTTACACAACGTGGACGTATTGATTGACCATAATGTCGTAAACAATAAAGTTTCTTATTAAACCAAGCATATATATAATCAACTAAATATTCATTACATGTTGTACATCGAAAACAATTCAAATGCCAAGCTGGAGTATGATTTGATGTTGACATGTTAGAAATTTCTTCTGTTAAAGAATGTTCTGATTTAATTCTTATACAGAATTCATCAAAATGGATTGTATTCGAACAATTTACACATGGCTGAAAGTAAATTTTTAAAAATATTCTAAATCATATGACAAGTATTAGATAAAATGTTGCGAGACTACAATGTATGGACGAGTCAATCAGAAGCGTTTGAGGAATTTCAAGGTCACGGTGTCAATTCCAGTACCTGATGCTCATGTACGATCGGTTCATAGAGAATTTTAGAGAAGGCTTGACAATCAAGCGGCTACAACAAATGAGACTATTAAGAAATTCCTTTATTTGTAATTGCGGAAATCCAATGACTTGTAGACCATGCGCAGACTATCGTGATGTTGTCTTTCGATGTAATATATGCTGAAGGAAGACGTTTGCTAGAATAGGAACCTTTATCGATAAATCCAGATTGAAACTAAAGCAAATTATAATAATTGACGTTAACTGTATAGTAAAACCACCAGTAAAATTGGCTGAAATAATCGCAGATGTTACTGAAACTTCGGCTGTTCACTGGTGTGAGTATTGTAGAGACATATCCATAATAAAAATGATAAACTTACATAATCGGAGTACACACAAACAATAATGAAGCTATGTGGTCGAGGCTGAGAGCGTTTTTAAGACCTTATCATGGCTCCAGAGACCAACTATTATGGAGCCATATGGATGAGTTTCTCTACCTTATGCATCACATGTTTTTAGACCATATAAAAGAAGTGTATCCGTTTTAATTATTTGGTTTTGTATGATACTATATGCCGACTGTTCACTGATTGGCTAACATTTCTCAAGGTCACTTAAGATTCGTTCAAAGGTCGTCCATAAATTATAGTCTCGCCGAAAGTGTTGAACGAGATGCCCAGTGAATTTTTATGTACACGTTAGACACAAAACAAGTTATCAAATTATCCATGTTCAAAGCTGGAACATTTAGTAGATCCATGACATTAAGCATCAAATTCATCCTTTGATATTGTTTACAAAATCTAATTAATGATACCTACTTCACACTCTAGAATCTCTAGGTAATCATAACATTGAAACTGAGTCATTAGTACAGAACAGTTTGTTGGTTCTGGATTATTGCCATCAGTATATTTCTATCATATCCTTTTACTTTATCATAGCTATAAATCGACATTTTTGCACTCGTAACCATCTCCCGATGTGGCTATGCGAATGATTTGATCAATCATATTTCAAGCAAGTCGTATAAGTAAATCGATTTCGGTGAAACTGTTCGTTCAAATTTAGACGAAAGTCCTTATACAATTTGGTCATATGGATAAAATGCTAACTTAAAATAGCTCTTTTGAAATGGTTAAAGAATGTAAATGACAGCCGTGTAGATTGAAAGGATGATTTAGGGAACGAATGTATGCGGCTCCTTGTAATTCAGTGTTCATATATAAGATGATCAGTTGAATTTGGAGAAATTCTCTTTGGAAAATATTCTAGTGGCACATTCAAGGCTGAGACAGCGAAAGAACTTGAGTTCTAGAGTTACTTTGAACAATGAAGACGGAAACTGGACAGGTGTATTACCAAAAAATATGATGTATTTGGGATAGAATACGATTGATATACTTGTAGTGACCTACTTTATATGATGAGAACACGATTGGTATAATAGAAACAATTATTATTATAACCAATTGTACCAATGATTGTTTTACTGTACTTGTTTTGTTTAACTGTATAAGAAACACTGTTCGTTCCGTTGTTCATCTTGTTCGTGCAAACTCTCTTATGCTCTGCCATTTTGCCTGTACTCTTTGGCACGTCTCGGTATTCTTTCGATACCACGAGATCACCAATAAATATATCTTATCTGAACCAAAAACAGCCTTCTGGTTTTCGGACTATCGAGGGATCCAAGTCGTTATCTGGCGCGTAATCTTATTATAGTGGTGATCATAGTCAATCGCGACTCGTCGCCATCTACATACTCATGATTCTCATATTTATGGTACAGATTTGCTTATTATATTATTGCGAATTCATTATTTTGCTCCAAAGTTGAAATAGGCGTGAAGTGCCAATATTGATACAAATTTTTTAAATTCAACATATGTGATTCAATCGTTGAATTCATGAGTCAGTTAAACCTAGACCACAATGGTAAACCTGGAAGCACTAGGCGGCCGTCCTGTCGTAGTATAGGACTCCTTAGCGGTGCGCATCTACGACCTTACTCTCAGGATTCGAACCCAGAACCTATCGGTCTCTCACGTAGACTCTTAACCTCTAGATCACTGAGCTGGCATCTGATGGTATTAATGTCGAACTTCAATCAATCTATTAACATATGTGATCATAAGATTGGACTATAATACACTGTAGATGGTTTATTGATATTTGCGAATTTTATAAAATGAAATAAAGAGGAGGCGTTTTGTTTTGAAGTTCGATTATGAACGGTATTTGACCATATTAGGTTAAAGGTAATTTACAACTTTAGTAAATTTTTCTTTATTGTTGCATCAATCAATAATCTAACAATGGAAATTTCAAAATTAGTAAACTGTTGAAACCATGAATCAAGTGAAGTTAGAACACTATGGAAAACCTGGACAATAACAGCGTTGGATACCGGCTCAGTGATCTGATTAGTAAACTGTCTTATTGAGCTAAATCTATTTGAATATTCTTGTAATCGTGAGACAACTAACTGACTGGATATATTACCACTGAGCTATTTGAACCCCCCCCCAATGATCTTGTATAGACTACAGATAATAGTACTTTAAGTGATTATAACTACATTAATGCTCAGTGTCATGTTGTCGATCAGTAACAAGGATGTGGGAAATATGACATTAGTTACTGAGATATTAGATATCACGTGCTTGTGTTCACACATTATCTCAAAGTTAGGTGAGAAACTAAAGTCAAGACACGCTACCGGAGAAAATCGATTAGGTACCTAATCAACGTCTCAGCCTACGTGTATTTGTTTGGGTTAGAAAAGTAGAATACGTATATATAACAACGATTTATTCACCTAGTGGTTCCGTTACACTAATTGCAATTTCCTATTCATATCTTATTCTTTTTGATCGCATAACTAGTTGGGGATGCGTGCTTATTTATGGTGGACGTCAAGGATCACAACACTACCGTTTCAACGAAATACAGTGTCAATCAATAATTTCTATCATTATTATTATGATAGTCAAGCCATATGTTTCATGAAAAGAAGGATAAATTTTTTTTATTTAAACACGTAAATATTGGTACAAGGAAGCACCAGATACATATGAGGGCTGAAATACTGCCCAGGTGCCCAGATTGAAGCAGGTGGTTTTTTTAGGGGGCCCCGAGCCTTTGACCTGAAGGTCTAGTCCTCAAGGCAATGGAGAATCGTAAGGAGATGCATTCCCATGGTAGCCGGTGACCAACAATTGGTTCATACGACATTTGTTCCCTCAGGATACTGGAGCTCATATGCACCATTGGTTTGGAATGAGGGTTTTCCAACTCTCCTAGATGGACTTTCTGTGTCCACCAACCCGGTTGAAGCGTCGGACATACGCTTTTCGTCCTCTCAATTTCGTAAACAACAGTAATGCCATGAGAAGTCAGTGAGTAGGACTTCCCTGACAAAGGCTATATATATGCGTGGCCATGTGAGAGCATTTGTAGAGGGAGAGCGGACTCTCCCCACTCTCGGCCGTACCAAGGCATTCGGGGGGCCGGTGACCATGGCACGTTGAAAGAAGGATAAAGCTAATATAAGATCGTATATTCTATTTAAATCATTAACTCATTACTTATCCGGGACTTATGTTGTTTTATAATTACCTGTCCATCCTTCTCATTCATATGTTCCACCAAACCAATACCCAAATCGTGAGAATTACGAAAATTTTTAAAACGATTCGCTTCACGTAATTCATTTTCTAAGTTAGGATTTGAATCTTTTAAATCATGCCATAATTCTTCAATTGTTACAGCTGGATTACAATCTTGTAATGGTATTTGTTTTCTAAGACGTTGACGTCTAATATGATCAGCAACTTCACCACGTGGTAATTCTTCATTTGGAAGATTACTCAGAAACAAATCCACCTTAGATCGAAAAGAAGATAAACATTTTATTATTACTATTATATTACTTCTTCAGTAATCTGTATCACTGGAGAACTAATAAAATTGGGCAGTATTGAATATTAGCTGCATTGTTTAATTCTAGGAATTTATATAAGTGATTTACCGTAACCTCGTCATCGAATGAAATCGAACACCCTTAGTACTTATGATATGGTTTTATATATACAGACCACTGAATCCGAAATCCATTAACATATATTTTAGACGTTAATCAACTTGCAATGATTTTCAATGGTTACTCAATAAACTTTATCGAACCCCAAAAATTACGGCTTTTTGTAAGTAATCATGCAGTTTATTGAAAAGGTGTCAAGACGTACACCTTACAAACTATTGGGGATGTCAAATCTCCAGAAGTTACTCGGTAAATGGTTTAATTTTGTAAATTTTATTTTGAAAATTTGAATTTCTTTGTTTTCGCGCCAAAAGCGCTCTTTTCACCTGCGAGTCGAATTTCCCACTTGTAAAATATCTTAAACGCTATTGGTCCATTTTATCTTTGAGTATGCTATTATGTAATGCTGCCCAAGGACAGTTTATTACTGTATATATACGTTTGATTTTTTTTTTCGCCTTATGATTGCTGTGCTTCTGCTTGCTACCGAATATATTTTCCCCACTTCCAACTTGGACTTCTTACTCTAGTTAGCTGGGTCTGGGTCACGTCAGAATAGTTAGCTTATCGGTTTCTGGTCACAAGTCTTTGTTCCGTTCGCTAACTAGTGAATTCGAAACGCTTCAGATATAACATAGACACAAAGATACTATTATGATGTATATATTTCAGTAATCTACCCTATTGACCTTCTTCAACTAGCCCATATCAGATACAGTGGATTACAATAGTAAATAAATTACATAACTAGACAAAAATATTACAGAGTTGATCAATGTAACCCATAAGCAATTTTCATTACGAATTACGGTATCATTTCAAAATAGAAGACTGAGAATCTGATTCATCTCAATCTGAGATTATTTATTGAAATACATTACCTACACAAGCAATTAGTCTCATTCTACCAATATAAATAATTCCAGCAGTCAGTAACTTCGCTAACTGAGGTCACCTTTTGGTTTAGCCATTCTTATCTTTTCCAACTTATTATTACATCAACGTAGCATACATTTAAAAATCCTTTGTAACATGTATAATGGATAGTAGTGAAATCCAGTTTGAGGCGCGTTTCGTCCTATCTCGGACTCATCAACTAGATGTACCTCAGTCAGTCAGTCAGCCACAACGTAGGACCAGGCACATATATGCATCGGTCCAAGTTGCCATACCTCGTTAGCACAACAAGATGAACACCGGATTCATAGAAGTAATTAATTTAGTGGTGGTAGTAGTATATAAATTATAGGTTGTATATAATGATATAGTATAGGAAGGAAGAGAGATATGAAGCAATTTTAGTCTCAAGGTTTAAAGGAAGATAAAGAGTGTATGCACCTACGCAATTGTGATCGATTCTAAGCCATGTCACACAGAGTCTCCAACCATTGGTTACGATAGTCACACGGACCCCAACCAGGTAGTCTGCATCTGCCAACATGGCTCAGACTAGAAGTTAGTGACTTCAAACACTGATGCCATACTTTGGTTTGGCCGCCCCTAACTCTCTTCCAACTATCCCCTACACTAGTCAACATAGCGCGTCGTGGTAATCGGTGTTCAGGCATACGTAACACATGGCCCAACCATCTCAGTCGATGAAGATTCATCACCTCATCAACTGATTTACCATCATCACTCCCTAATACCCTGTGTCTAACCTCACTCACTATCACTTACCCGGTGATCCCAGTAGATGCCAGCAATATTTCTGAGATATCTGTGGTCAAATACTAGTAACCTACGAGTATCTTCTACTCTTAATGGCCATGTTTCACAGCCGTAAAGTAGAACAGAGCGAACTGATGCGCAGTATACTCGTCCTTTGGTTGATAGACGGATATCTCGTCTTCGCCATAGGTGACTTAAGTTGGCAAAAGCCAACTGTTGACTACCTCTAACCACCATCTTATCTCAAATGATGAATAGTGGTTAACAGTGTAATGGAGGACGCAGTCCTTCCAGTATGCACATATGTCACAATAAGAAACTGATCAATCGCAGTCTTAAACATCAAATGGAAGATCCAAGTATACAACATCAAGTCAAACAATCATTTATAACATAATAATCTTACTTCTGTTTGTTTGACACCAATCGGTAACCAATTTAATCCATATTGTTTAGCTAAATTTTGTGCATTCATATATTCTTGATATAATAATATTGATTGATTATAATCTAATTCATCTAATATTGATTGATTAGTGTAATAATAATCAATATCATGTTCATAATATGCACAATGACATTGGGTACAAATCATTCTAATTAATATAAATAGTATAGTATAGTTTAGTTTAATTAATAATCAATAATCAATTACCTCCATGAATGTTTCATGAAACCGGAACATTTTGATCCACATTTTAAACATGGTTTATTCTGATCTTGATCATAAGCCATTATGAAAAAAGTTTTGATTACTAAAATGAAAATGAGAATTAGAAATAGTAAACAAAGATGGATAGATATTGGCTAACAATGCAATTCAGTTTGATATGTGTTTCATCCTATTTGGAACTCGTCAACTGAATGTATCTAACACATGTCACAGTTGATGTTCACTCCGTAAAGTAGAAATTCGAACCCAGTACCTTTAGCTTCAAATTGCATGGCGTTATCCACTTGGCCACTGAGTCCTGATAACCACTTGCTTGTGTAATGGGGTGAAGTTGAAATTTACATAGTATTGTTTGTTTGGATCTTCCCATTGATGTTTTAGGAATAGGATATCATAATTGTTTCATCAGTCTATTGAAGCTAGACCATCATGGAAAGTCTGGAAATATTGAACAGCCGTTTCGTTCTAGTATGAGATTTCTCAGCAGTGAGCATTCATGATCCCGCGTCGCGAGATTCGAACTCAGGAAGTATAGGTCACGCACGCGAACGCTTAAAATCTAGACTACTGAGCCGGTATCTGATGGTGTCAATGTCTAACTTCAACTAATCCACGAAATTGAGCTACATATCTACCATTGTCTTCAGTGAGTCACTATCTCACAACAGACCTGGTTGAACTTCACTGGTCACTGCTTCTCACTAGAACTCCAGGAAAAAACTCTTGGAGCCAGTAACTAGTGAGCATATATTGATTAATATCAGAATGAGTTTTCGGGGATATTATAGTAATTTTAATAGTTGAGGTCATGAGTCAATTGAAGCTAGACCACTATTATCTGACGTTGTCACAATGACTCCATAGATTATTGTGCCTAGCTCTCTGATATGAAATGAAACTCTCAAAATCATGTCAGTCAGTAAGTCAGTCACAACGTAGAACTTTGTACGTACGTACATCAGTTCGAGTTATTATGCCACATTAACACAGAGATGCAGATGTCGATTCAAATCCCATAATGGTAGAAGTAGTAAGAGTATAACATTAACATTAATAACATTAACATTACAAACTTGATTATGATCCGAAGTTTGGAAGGTGGCTAACAATGGATTCTAAACTTTACATTCCGTAATATTTTCGTAAAAATAATCGTCAACTAGCTTGGTTTATACATTGGTCGATCAATGGTTAAACTATATCATATTTATCTGGTCCTTTAACGTTGATTAAATTCTACTGACCATTGGGCCTGAGTGACTTGACATCGTGTGTGCTATATTTCAAAATTAGGTTATTGGAAGTAGATGACAGGAAACTCTCCATAACTTAGGCATCTTATTATCATCATTTATTAGTAAGACGTATCTATAATCTTGCTACATGGATAGCTCATTGGTAACATCTCAGACTATGAAGCTAAGTGAAATTAGTTCAAATTCCATTAAGAACATCAGTTCGCCTAAGATTACAAGTACACTGTCCTTCCAAATCCTATCTATCACAAGATATTGGTCAAGATGAGTTTTGTCTTAATTATTTCTATTCATCTAACTAACAACTTGATTTCTTTATTATGTCTCATGATCAATACTACTGTAATATCCTCCTTATCTGTAATAACTCTCAACATTTAACAAATCTTTTGTTCAGAAGGGGTTTTGTAAAGAATTCAGTATTTTTCATAGATAGAATCATGAGTCAATTGAAGCTAGACCACTATGGATAACCTGGAAGCACTACTTTGAGGCTGTTTCGTCCTATTGTGGGACTCCTCAAAAAAACAAAAGGATTTCATAGGAATCACTTACCTGTATGGTAAAATAATCTACTTTATCTTAGATACTAATAACCATTAGTTAGTAGTATATGTCATATATATGGCAATAAGTTTGAAATGATATTCGAAATTGATTGATTTTTTATTGATCAACTAAAGTGTCTGTCTATCATAACGTAGTTTGTATGTACGTATATGCGTATCTATCTATCCATCTATTTTTCGGTCTTCAGGTACTGATACTTTTTTACTCTGTAACTTCATTCATACTCTTCTCAAATCATCTCTTCTACTCATTTAATATTCTACTACAATTTATGAGGTTCATACTTCAGCTACACTGGTATTTGTTTTCTTCTACAGTAGGCTGTTGCTGATGGTATCCGATCAACGGACATTGAATTAGTATACACTTGACGGTTGCATTCGACTTATTTACTACTTTAGCTACACTGATATTTGTCTTCATAATTTCATCTCTCTACAGTGTATTGTGTGCTATGGCAACTAAGATCGAAATATATGTACATGTGAAGTAAGTAGTCGATTAGTAAACTAATTAGTAGATAGAACAATTGGCAGCTGGTTTGTTTTCTCCTACAGTACGCTGTTGCTGATAGTATTCGATCACCGGATAATGAGTATTTTAAGTAGATATTTGTTTATGAATAAGTGTACCATTTTGGTGATGGTTATGACAGTTGTCTAAGTTTGAGCTCTGTGTGATAGAACTGTCTTGATGTTCGTACTAAAGATTGTGATTTTGATGTTAACTTGGAGACAGTTGTTTGGAGCTCTATACGTTATTCAACTGTCGGAATGCGGCCTTTTCTTTACACTTTATTTATAGTCAACTTATAAACGAAACATTTTATCAATAGTTCACTAAATATAAACAATCTGCTAAAATGAGAATCTTGAAATAGATAAAGATTTTGATATGCGGTGTCTTCATGTCAGTATTAGTGGAAACGATGGTTCTCCTATATTTTCATCGCAGTCACTGTCTGGTGAATTTAACATTGACAATGATTATTAAGTTATTTATCTAGTGGTGGTTCTACGAATGTAAGCTTACAACATACACAAAGGGGAAAAAAGGCTCTTCGATACAACACGACATGCACCAATCGAATCACACTTGACGAATAAGCTTTGGAGGATGTGAAAAGCTTTGCATATCTGGACAGCATCATTGATGAACAAGGTGGATCTAATACAGATGTGAAGACGAGGATTGGCAAAGCAAGGACAGCATATCTGCAATTTAAGATCATTTAAAACTCAGAACAATTGTCAACCAACACCAATATCAGAATTTTCAATACGAATGTTAAAACAGTTCTAATGTATGGGACGGAAACTTGGAGAAATATGAAAGCCATCATCCAGAAGATACAGGTGTTCATTAAAAGTTGCCTACGCAAAATACTTCGGATCCATTGACCAGACACTATCAACAACATTCAACTGTGGAAGACAACAAACCAGATTCCATCCATTAGAGGAAGAAATCAAGAAGAGGCGGTCGAAGTGGATAGGACATACATTGAGGAAATCACCAAACTGCGTCACAAGACAAGTCCTCACTTGGAATCCCGAAGGCCAAAGGAAAAGAGGAAGACCGAAGAACACATTAATTGGGAAAACGGATACAGACATGAGAAGAATGAACAAGAATTGGATAGAACTAGAAAGTAAGGCCGAAGACTGAGTGTGTTGGAGAATGCTCGTCGGCGGCATATGCTCCATTTGCGGGTAACAGGCGTAGGTAAGTAAGTAAGTGAGTAAGTAAGTAAGTAAGAAAGTAGACAGAAAAGTCCTGTGAAATGTTCTTTTTATTCAAGAGAATCATGGAAAATCTAATCTTAATCTTACTTACTTACTTACTTACTTACTTACTTACTTACTTACTTACTTACTTACTTACTTACTTACTTACTTACTTACTTACTTACTTACTTACTTACTTACTTACTTACTTACTTACTTACTTACTTACTTACTTATGCCTGTTACCCCTCGTCGAGGAGCGTAGACCGCACACCAGGATTCTCCATCCAACCCTGACCCAAGCAATTCTTTCCAGTTCTTTCCAGTTAACATTCATCCTTTCCATATCTGCTTCTATTTCCCGGAATAATGTGTTCTTTGGCCTTCTTCTCTTCCGATTCCCTTCCAGATTCTAAGTTATGGCTTGTCTCGTGATGCAGTTTGGTGATTTCCTCAATGTAAGTCTTATACACTTACAACGTCTTTTTTCTAATTTCCTCTTCAGCTGGAAGCTCGTTTGTCCTCTCCCACAATAGGCTGTTGCTCATAGTATCTGGTCAGTGAGTGTTGAGTATTTTGCGTAAACAACTGTTCATAAATACTTGTACCTTCTTGATGACGGATGTAGTAGTTTTCTGTTTTTCAGCTCCGTATAGTAGAACTGTCTCGACGTTCGTATTGAAGATTCTCACTTTGAAATTAGTTGACAGTTGTTTTGAGTTTCATATGTTCTTCAATTGTAGAAATACTACCCTTGCTTTGCCTATCCTCGCTTTTATATTTGCATCAGACCCTCCTTGTTTACCAATGATGATCCCCAGGTAAGTGAATGTTTCCACCTCTTCCAGAGTTTCTCCATCAAGTGTGATTGTTTTGGTGTTCTCCATGTTGTATTTGAGAATCTTTTTCCTTTGTGTATGTTGAGGCCTATTAATGTAGAGGCTGCTGCTACATTAACTTAAATCAACCTGAGATAAACTAAGAATTATCATACACTGGGTAGTTGTATTCGACCTAGTTTTTTATTACTTAGCACTATCATGTCTAAGGATCTAATAATAAAGCAGAGATTTTTGTTCTGCATAATTCATTAAAGCAACTAGTTTCATACGAACAGAGTTTGTAAAAGTGTAATAACTCATATTAGGCAAAAGATTGATCTGAAACATTTCAGATCTTTCATTTGATGAAAGTGAATGATAATTAGCTTGGTTATCGAATTGTCTACACCTGAAAAAAATGTACCACAATGCCAATTTCAGCCCGTAATTTGTTTTGTGTATGATTAATAATTGAACAATTCGCCAGAGAGATAGATAACTTTCAATAGAATGACAAGCCAAAACATTTCCAAGTCATTTTCTCTAGACTGCTGTACAATATCAAACTAGAACTATATATGTAGTGTAAGCAAAGATGGATAGTGGTTATCAATGGAATCCAGTTTGATGCGCGTTTCGTCCTATTTGGTACTCATCAGCTGGATGTACCTACACCTCAGAGTTGATATTCACTCTGGGAGGAACTCGAACCCTGTACCGTTCACTTCAAACACCATCGCGTTACAGAGTAAGTTATATTGAACGAGAATACAAATAGGAACAATGGAATGTAGTTGAACATACAAATTACATAATGTCTTAGTAAAATCTAAGAACCATACAATAAATACTTTATTTGCAAAACGTCCATCAATGATCTCAAACTTCATTGTTTTTTTTTGCTTCTACAACAATCATTCTCTGTTCTCGTTCTCTTTTCTTCGATCTTCCCAATGTTTTGCCTCCAGCTATTTCACTTTAGATTGATGATATATACTACTGATATCAGTCGATATCAGTAGCACATACCACAACGACATCAATTTAGTTCATCATAATTTTATCTTATTCATTTTTAAAGATCAATCGAGAAAATTTCCTTACAGTTGGTTATTTATTCAATAAATTTTGTCAAAACAAAGTAAAATTTATAAAATTTAGATAACGATTTATTAATAACGCTATGGTGTTTGAAGTGAAAGGTAATGGGTTCGAGTTTCTCCTTTCCGGAGTGAACATCAACTCTGAGATGCATGTACATCCATCTAATGAGTCCGAAATAGGACGAAACGCGCGTCAAACTGAATTCCACTGCTAGTCACTATCCATCTTTGCTTATAATGCTTGTGAATTAAGGCAATATCGAGGCAATACACACAGAATGCACATATGCCAATAGGAGACTGATCAGCTCCAGTCCTAAACATCAATGGGAAGATTCAAACAAACAATACCAAGCAAATTTAAGAAACAGAATTTGTTTAATTCCTTGATCTATTGAACTATTAAAAGAGAGAGAAGTGGGAATCCTAACCATGATCTTGATAAGATGCTATTTGAATTATTTTGCACATAATTTCGATATGATTAAATAGAGCTCATAGTCACATGTTATTATCCCGTGGAGAATTATGAAGGGTAACTTTTGAGAACTATTTATGGACAAATGTGATATGTATACTTCCTATTATATAATTGTAAGGCAACTAAACTATTTGTATTCGTGTTCCTCTTATTATAAGCTTTATTTTGATCTATAGACTATTACCATTCTTGAGTTAACTCTAGTCCATTTATTACTGTTCCCCCTATTCACAGCAGTTGCCTACGCAAGATACTTCGGATCAGATGGCCAGACACTATCAGCAACAACCTACTGTGCGAGACAACAAACCAGATTTCAATGGTTAAAGAAATCAGGAAGAAGCGATGGAAATGAATTGGGCACACTTTGAGGGAATCACCTTGTTGCGTCACAAGACAAGCCCTAACATGGGATCCTGAAGGTCAAAGGAGAAGAGGAAGACCAAAGAACACATTACGCCGAGTAATAGAGACTGATATAAGAAGAATGAACGAAAAATGGATAGAACTAGAAAAGAAGGCCTAGGACAGAGTGAGTTGGAGAAAGCTGATCGGTGGCCTATGCTCCATTGAGAGTAACAGGCGCAAGTAATTAAGTAAGTATGTATTTACAGCCACATTTGGCTAAATCTTGTAAAATTGTTATTTTCTATTTTATGGTACGATATGCTCAGTTTGTTTGGTATATTAACCCAGTATGTTTGAGAATAATGATTCATATTGCAGAGGCTGTTATTGGTGTTCTGAGCTTAACTGTCTGGGCTAAGCAAGTAGCAGGACTGATAAGTACCTCAAGACTGTTCATACGGCTTTTGTGTATCATTGCTCTGATCGATAAGTTCACTTTTCTCTCATTGGCGGGAATCAGCACGAACATGTATTAAACAACGCACACACTTACATGA